GTGCTAAGAAGTACCATTGATAAAACAGCTGGTACTAAGGAGTACCATTGATAAAACAGCTAGTACTAAAGAGTACCATTGATAAAACAGCTAGTACTAAGGGGTACCATTGATAAAACAGCTAGTACTAAGGAGTACCATTGATAAAACAGCTAGTACTAAGGAGTACCATTGATAAGACAGCTAGTACTAAGGGGTACCATAGATAAAACAGCTAATACTAAAGGGTACCATTGATAAAACAGCTAGTACTAGGGAGTACCATTGATAAAACAGCTAGTACTAAGGAGTACCATTGATAAAACAGCTAGTACTAAGGAGTACCATTGATAAAACAGCCAATACTAAGGGGTACCATTGATATAACAGCTGGTACTAAGGGGTATTATAGATAAAATAGCTAGTGCTAAGAAGTACCATTGATAAAACAGCTAGTACTAAAGAGTACCATTGATAAAACAGCTAGTACTAAGGAGTACCATTGATAAAACAGCTAGTACTAAGGAGTACCATTGATAAAACAGCTAGTACTAAGGAGTACCATTGATAAAACAGCTAGTACTAAGGAGTACCATTGATAAAACAGCTAGTACTAAGGAGTACCATTGATAAAACAGCTAGTACTAAGGGGTACCATAGATAAAACAGCTAATACTAAAGGGTACATTGATAAAACAGCTTGTCCCAGGCTGTACCACTGATATAACAGCTAGTACTAAGGAGTACTATAGATAAAACAGCTAGTACTAAGGGGTACCATTGATAAAACAGCGAGTGCTAAGGAGTACCATTGATAAAACAGCTAGTACTAAGAGGTACCATAGATAAAACAGCTAATACTAAGGAATACCATTGATAAAACAGCTAGTACTAAGGAGTACCATTGATAAAACAGCTAGTACTAGGGAGTACCATTGATAAAACAGCTAGTACTAAAGGGTATCATTGATAAAACAGCTTGTCCTAGGTGGTACCACTGATATAACAGCTAGTACTAAGGAGTACTATAGATAAAACAGCTAGTACTAAGGGGTACCATTGATAAAACAGCTAATACTAAGGAGTACCATTGATAAAACAGCTAGTACTAAGGAGTACCATTGATAAAACAGCTAGTACTAGGGAGTACCATTGATAAAACAGCTAGTACTAAAGGGTACCATTGATAAAACAGCTAGTACTAAAGGGTACATTGATAAAACAGCTTGTCCTAGGTGGTACCACTGATATAACAGCTAGTACTAAGGAGTACCATTGATAAAACAGCTAGTACTAAGGAGTACCATTGATAAAACAGCTAGTACTAAGGAGTACCATTGATAAAACAGCTAATACTAAGGAGTACCATTGATAAAACAGCTAGTACTAAGGAGTACCATTGATAAAACAGCTAGTACTAGGGAGTACCATTGATAAAACAGCTAGTACTAGGGAGTACCATTGATAAAACAGCTAGTACTAGGGAGTACCATTGATAAAACAGCTAGTACTAAAGGGTATCATTGATAAAACAGCTAGTACTATAGGGTACATTGATAAAACAGCTAGTACTATAGGGTACATTGATAAAACAGCTTGTCCTAGGTGGTACCACTGATATAACAGCTACATGTAGTACTAACAAGTACCATTGATAAAACAGCTAGTACTAAGGGGTACCATAGATAATATCTAACCTTGCTGGGGTAATATCAGTAGAGTCTGTTGGATCAGACTTGAAATCAACCAACTCAGTATTATCATCGTCAACACCATCACTATCACTCTCATCATGATCATCATCCCAACTTTCCTCCTCTCCATCATCCATCTCTTTCATTACAGCTTGGATAATTTCGTCATCATTAGCATCTTCCTCCCCAGTCCATATAACAATAGGTAACTTACCTGACTTCACTCTCTCCTGACTGGTGAAGTAAATTAATTGGACACCGATTGGTCTTACAGTTTATTGTATCATCTTAGAACTGCTCCCATGGATCAACATGAACAAAAGTATTTTGACAATTGCTGAGAAACTGTAGCGGCCGATTAAACGAACAAGTATATGTGTCACTGATAAATACCGTATTTTTTCAATATTTTCAACTCAAAAACTTTCAATATTTTAATTCCATAAAAGTCATTACGATTTCCTTCCAAAGAACCAACCCCAGTAATTTTATTACAGCTACAAATTTTTAGTGACTGATCAAAATTAATGAAAATTTTTCTTGATGCAGAAATAAAATGGTCAGTACAAAATCTCAACCATTATAAAACAGTCTTTTAGGGAAAATTTTAGTATTTACCTTTATGGGATGGAGCATTTAGTTTTGCATCGCTCAGTCTCAGATAGGGGCAACGATTAACTTGTAACAATTTGTAATGTGAAAATCAACATTATCACCCTCCCCCCCCAAAAAATTATCACCCCCCCCCCCAAAAAAAAACAGCAACAGGAAATGTAACCAGTCTGATGTTAAAATCTGTTTTCACGAATTAGTGCAAGTTGTATCGGTACTTATTTATTTTACTGCAATTTCTCGCAAACTGTTCTGTGTTACTCTGTTGTCCAGGGAAGTATTCTTATAAGATATTTGTCAAAAATCAATTTTTGGAAACAAATTTGTGTACTATGAATGAATTTTCATGCACACTATGTCTGTATATCAATCACTGTTTGTTTTTAAAATATTCACGATCGTTGCTGGTTATTCCTTTGAATGCTAAAACCAACTTTTATCACTTTTCACACAATAATCCAGTCATATAATTTCATTGCATGAAGGTTGCATATCCCTGTCTATTACAGTCAAAACAAAGTCAGCTTGGACGTTCAGTTATGAGACATGACAAAATAAATGCAGCCAGTGATACATTTCGAGAATAAAACAAAATAAACGCAATCAAAGACGCCTACCACGCGCGCTGGAAATGAATAGAACACGTTGCGGCAAGTAGTCTCACCTGCATCTTTCACTCACGGAAACGCACACACACGCGTGCTATTTCTGTATATTTCGGCAATTTGAGAGAAAAAAACATCGGAAGGGAAAGTTTAAATCATGTTTGTATTAACGTAACATGAAAGCAACGGTGAATATATGTTTATCATCTAACTAAATATTCGATGTTACATACATTAATCGGACTGCGGCGGTTATGTAGCTAAGACGAAGGACATGCGACAGTATTATTATGCTCGTCTACTACACCTGTGAGTAATTTTCCGATAAAAGTGTGATTAGTATCAGCAATAATTTCTAGTACTACATGGAGAATTGCGTATTATTAGTTGTCATCAGACATATCCTTGTCAAGGATTTTTTGAACAATGTCTCAAATTTCCGAAAGAATATTTGAATACTAGTTAGGGCATAATGTTGAACACTACTTTTCGTTTTTGACATTGTGAAATTAAAAAAAATGATTCTTGACAAGATAATCATAAATTTATATTAAGAATAATTCATAACAAATGTATTCCATATGCACCCATAAATTATTTTCATACATTACTGATTACACACGAATATTACAGAAAAGGAGATAATTTGCTATATTCATGTTTGCACGTCATGTTCACAAAATCGCAGACAATTATTTGTAAGGGATGCCCTTTGAAATGGCAAATTTTCTCGATGTTTTAGCCTAGCGAGTACTCCGCAGGGTATATAAGCGTGTTCTCACACTAGCATAACTTTGCTCGAGTTCACTCATCGTTTTCCCACATGCACAGTGCGTTTGAAAATAACCTAATTATATTGCGTGAGTGGCTGGTGAGACTGTCACAGCGCATTCTATTTCCAACAGGCGCATTTGATTGCGTTTATTTTGTATTTTTATTTTCGAAATGTAGCACTCGCTGCATTTGTTTTGTCACGTCTCGCAACTGAACGTCCAAGCTGACTTTGTTTTGGCTGTATCAAGATGTGATAAGCAATGAAGGTCATCATGTTGCAACTTAGAGGGATATCCTCACAGGGATCGAGTTTCACAAAACTCGAGACGCTATGAAAATTTTTCCTTGTGATTTTCTCACAAAACGGATGTCGTTTTAAGAAGCTACGAATGCTGTGAGTGGGTAACAATAAAACAATCCAGTGATTAAACAATACAGACTTCTAAAAATCAGAATTTGATACAAATGTAATTTGACATACTTTGAATATGAGAAATATGAATATAATATTCAGTTATATTGAAAAATTATAAAATTATAAATTTACTTGGACTATATAGCGAAGAGAGAGTAAAGACAGTGATTACCTTGTAATATATACCCATAGTATCCCACATGCAAACCACTATATCTATTATTACCACCACTTATACCAACATTTATAACACTATACTTTATAAATCAGAGGTAATCATAACTTCACATTTACACAGTCAAATATTGTCTAG